ATCCGTTACCGTTAACTATTTTTAACGGTGCTCCACCTCAACTGCCACCTCATCAATGAATAAAATAAAATTGGGTAAACACTCATTATTAGCCAAAGCTTTCTGGCATTCTTTTTTATTAGCCAAACCTATTGAATTACTAATAATTGACCAAATCTTTTGTAATGCATCAAAATATTAGTCATCTATACGGTATCATTAATAATTTTGTACCTTTTTCATAATTAAAATACTAAAATTTTGGAATGTTGACTTCCATATGACTCTTCCAAGCCAGTGTCATGCTGCCAATTCAATATTACTAACAAAATTGCAATCTGGAAGTTAACATTTGGCCAATTATTAGTAATTCATAGGCATGACTAATAAAAAAGAATGCGGAAAAGTTATCAATGGTTGACCGGCTGATGTGACATTTTTTGACTGTCATGTCAGAATATTTCTTCCAACTCAGTGCCACATTTGATAGCTCCCCATCATCAAACGGAAAAGTTAACGGAGATTTAATGTTTGGTTAATAAATAGTATTCTAATAGGTTTGGATAAAATAAAAAAATCCAGAAAAGGTTTGATTAATAAATAGACGTTATTCTAAAATATATATGTACGTCATGGCTAGGGGTGTGCAATGGTACGTTATTCTAAAATATATATGTAGGTCCACATGAATTTTATAATTACTAAAGAAATGATGGACTGAGCTAATATTTGGACCAGACCTGTTGGGGGTACTACCCATCAGCCATTGTGCTGGGCCTCCAGGCAAAAGAATTGGGGGGCAAGGCCCACGAAGGGGTTGGTGAAGCATCCCTAGGCCCCAAGTGAGATGAGGGGCGCATGAGGACAAAACACTAAAAGCCAAAGGAGGCCAGGTTGTCAGGTGGTCCACAGCCGACAGGCGCCTGCCAGTGCGTCAGAAGCCTGACAAGGTGGTTGAGATATCTGACAAGGAGGGTACAAGGCATTAAATGGAGACAGTGACGTGGAGGAGATCAACCTCGAGCTCGGTGAGTATAAATAGGAGCAGTTGGTAGCTTTTACACGGGTTGGACTCTCTCACTAGAATTCCTATTTCGGGACACTTCCCTCTCTAAGGAACTAACTTGGGCGTCGGAGGATTAACGGGCCCAGGCGCCCTCCTCTTTATGTGTGTGTGTAGGCAGGCGCCAGGCGAAGTGAAGTTTCAGGAGAATCGGCGGGTATCGTGGCTCAAACAATTGGCGCGCCAGATAGGGGAGTATAACCAGGAGTCATGAGTGAGGAGACGTCAATGAATGATGAAAGAGAAAGAGGAGATTACGGAGGACCAGTCGGGGCGGATTAGGGGGCTGACGCCCGAGATGGAAGAAGGTGAGGAAAGCGATGGCATGTTCTGAGGGTCGGAAGCCGCCTCGGTGACGAGGAAAGAGCTGTTTAGAATCATCGAAGACCAAGACGGAGCGATTGAGGCGCTTCGAAGGGAGATCGATGCTTTAAAAAGGGGCGGAGGGATGACGCCCAGCCCAACGAAGAAAAGAGAAAGGGTGGCGGAGACCAAAAGTGAGTCGGGATACCAGAGGCGCCCCAGTTTGTGGCGCCCACGTGAGTACGAAGGGCCGGACGCAGGGGGATGGAACGGAGGAATTTTGGGGCGCCTGTCACGTCACGGCCCCGTGAAACAGCCCTTGGCGCGTAACATACTGATGGAGCCTGCGGGGACCAACATTCCCCGCTCCCCACCTATGATGGGACCGCTGATCCTGAGGACCACCTCAATGGATACTTCACCAAGATGCAGCTCTACAACAGTACAAACGCCACCCTGTGCAAAGTGTTTCCGTCAACTTTCGCAAGCGTGGTCCTCGACTGGTACTACCAGATTGAAGAGGGGCGCATCGAGTGCTTTGAGCAATTTGCGGAGATGTTTCTGGCGAAGTTCGCCAGCCGGAAGCGTCGCACCCTGACCATAGGCGCCCTGTTCAAGGTCAAGCAAAGAGATGGAGAGGCACTGAGGGAGTTTTATGAGAGGTGGCTGTTCGTGGCCTTGGCGGTGAAAGACGCGCAGCCGTCGGTATTGGGAGTGTGCCTGAACGAATGTACCACCAGCGAGGAGTTGTGCAGGTCGCTAGCAAAAAGAGACGTTGTGTGTACTGAAGATCTGGATCGCAGAGTGCAGAAGGTGATCATGCTCGAAGAAACTTTGGCGGCCAGGAGGGCAGACAGGCGGAAGACAAGAGGGGAAGAGGTTGAGATGGCAAGGAGGCCGCACGCTCGAGCGGTTTGGGGTATGCGCCCTCGAATCCTCCCCCACCGAGAAGGATGGACGCCGGACGCCCGGCGTCCAGGGGAGCAGGAGCCTTTGCTGAGTACACTAACACACTGAAAAACATACTCCAACATGTCAAGGAGAAGGGGTATCACATCAGGTGGCCGGGCCCCATGAGGGGGCAACCCATGAATGGAATCTGGATCGATATTGTGACTTTCACCGAGAGGTGGGACACCATACAGCCGACTGTTATCAACTGAAGACCGAGTTGCAAGGCCTGGCCGACAGAGGGATGCTCAACGACTTCGTCAAGAAGCCTGAGGAGAGAGTGCACCGGGCGTGCGTGGCCAGTATGGAAAAAGCGAGGGAAGAGCTACCACCCCCGCCCTATGACCTTGACCAAGAAAATGCGCCCGAACGGGTACGCCTGACCATTGAGGCTATTTCGGAAACGGTGGACTTGAGGGAAAAAATAGAGGCAAATCGCCGCCTGAGAGCGGCATCGGCAGACGTGCAGGAGGCGATCGATATCAGCTTCAACAGGGCGCCAGAGGAAGCGTGCATGCTCCCCTCCATGGACGCCCTAGAAATACAAGGAGTGGTGGCGGGGTGCCAGGTTAGAAGGATGCTCGTCGACACGGGAAGTTCGATGGACGTGTTGTTCAAGGATACAGTGGTTCGCATGCAACTATCGCCGGAGCTTATCAGACCATCAGAGTAGGTGTTGGTCGGCTTCTCCGGGGCGCCCGCAAGAGTGATAGGGCGAGTCCGCCTGCCGGTCTCCTTGGGAGATGGGGAGCAAAGGGTGACGCGTGCCATCGATTTCGGGATAGTGGACTGCCCGTCACCATACAACGCGATCCTGGGAAGACCCCTCCTGGCCTTATTCAATGGGATGGCCTCTACATATCATCAAACCTTAAAGTTCATCGCTCCGCAAGGAGTAGGAGTAGCCCGGGGGCGAGGCGCCCCGCGGTATGCGAAGGAAACGGGACGGAAGCGGAGGTCTTCCGATGCAAGGGT